ACATAAGGAAAGAGAGAGCGCGAGTGTCACACACACACACACACACACACTCGCGTGCGGTCTCTCCGTACAACATTCAAAACAGTGGCAAGCCAAATAGTATTTATTTAAACACTGAAACAAATGGCGGGTGGGTCTCTGTCTTGATCGGGGGTGAAAGAGGGAGAAAACCGAAGATGACACAGATCTATAGTAACCTTCAGTAGTAAAATCAGAGATGTAGTGCGGTTTTTACACTTTTTTCAGTCACCGTAACCACATTCTCATTCAGTTGATCTTAATCCGATTCCAAGAAATTCTGGCCTCCTGTGAAACAGATTTGGGGTCATTTTGTGGAATCGGGCTGTTTGATTGGCTGGTGTTTCTGTCCGTAGAGCCAGACTGAAGACTGGGGCGGTTTGACCAATGAGGAGATCTTATAAGGGAGCGGAGTCCCGCCCACCCTGTCAGCCGATTGGTAAATGGTGTGATTTTGCTTGAGCTGAATTCTGATTGGGCATGACGAAGCTCTCGCTCGCTCTGATTGGAGGAGACGTGGTGATGTGAGGGGGAGCTCTTGACCTTTGACCTGGTCACAAGATTTAGGCTGCATCCCAGTTCACAGACTAAAAGTATGTGGAAGTATATACTTTTGAGTTTGTATTAAGACAGTACGCTGGGATTGGGACCAAGAAATAAAATAATGTCTTAATACACAAAATAGTTTTTTCCAAAGCGAGCAACTCGGTGTCTACATGTAAAAATTATTTTTCAAAGTTATAAATAAAACAAATATTATTAGAGTACATTTTGCAAGAAAATAATGTTTTAGACATTCTACATCAAAATTTTATTTCATTCAGTGTGTTTGTTTCTTTGTAATTATTTGCTAAATTTACTAGCGATTTTTGAGTGAAAATAGTTTCTACACTTAATTATTTATGAAAAATTATAAAATTATTTATTATTATTTATGAATTAACTAATAATTCAGAGTTTGCAATAACTAGTTAGTAATTCATTCTGAACTAATCCATATAAAAACTGCAGCTTTTGCTTAAAAAACATTTAAATAATTGTGAATCATAATTTGGCATATATGATTAATAAATTGGGTTGAAGTTATCGGTTTGCATTTAATTATCAATTTTCAGCAAATGACTTAAATATAATTAAATTATTATATAAATAATATCATTATAATATAATTAATATATAATTTAATGCATCATATTTGTTGTACTTTTATCTGCCTGTTTGTTTGTTTAAAAAAAGTTTCTTTTGTTCTTTTTGGAATGTTTCAAAATTGCTTTTCCAGGTGGATTGTTGACAAAACACTGCCAAGTAAATAAGTAAATAAAAATAAAAATCCAGTGTAGAATTAAGAACATTATTGAATTATTATAATTATTATTATTCATTAATTACATTATTTAGTTGAAATAATTTAACATAAATTTAATACAATTAATGTATTTAATTTAATACATTAAATAGTGAGCATGCAATGTAATTTGTCACTGCTTATTGTATTATATTAAATAGTATTCAGTGCGTACTGCAATGATTAGTACACTAATCCATTCAGTACTAATCCATATATTTAAAACTACATATTTTGCTTCATAATAAAAGATTTGAAAGTGAATCCTAATCTGGCATGCTATGCAAATTGGGTTGCAGCATCAGTCTTAAAGGGCCAGTAATAGTAATTTGTGTCACGCCTTCAGTTATTGGTTTGCATCACAATGACACATTGAGCTGAACTCATTCTGTGAATACATGCATGTAATGCAGATGTGTTGCATTAAAGAAACGCACCCCGTCTCCACAATCAGATGCTCTTGATGTGTGTGTGTCGACCTCTGACATGATGCTTGATGGGAACTAACCGGCACTGGATGACTAGCGATGTTTTAACTGCATTTCATGCCTGCAGTGAGCTGTGTGTTGCTCTGTCAGCGCAGGAGCAGAGATTATTTGTGTGCGTGTGAGCTGAGGATGAGACATGAATGCCTTCCTTTTCATTTTGGGGCTTCGGTGCTGCATAAATATCCCACTGCATCAGAATAAATCGCATTATGCGGCAAGGGGTTTGTGTTTTATGATGTGATCTCTCTGTCTCGTCTCTATCTCTCTCTCTCTTCCTCGCTGTCTGCCTTTTGCTGATGTTCTTGTTTAAATTTTTGTTCAATTTAAACATCATATTCACTTTTTATACAGTCGAGTACATCTTATGTAACCTTTCAACAGCAAATTATATATTATTTATTTTAATATTATTTATTTTAATTTTCAGTAGATTTTAACGTACTTGTTAATGTATAATAAATAAATATATATATAAATATTTTTTTGTTTTTATTTTACTTGTAATACAGCATTTCTTTTGTTATTTCAGAAATGTTCTGGAATTACTTTCCCAGGTGGATCGCTCTCATTAGTTAATAAAAAAATATGAATAGTCCTAAAAATAAAGGAATCTTTTTTTTTTGTGTCATATTTTCAAATATTTTTCTCTTTGGTATGCATGTAATATGTGACCTCAACACGTTTTTGTGGTTTTCACCCAGACTGGTTTCATATGATTTAGTTTTAATAATCCGATTACCATTCTTTACTTTCTCTGTGTAGTTTAATTTTGAGAGGGGAAAAAAAAAGAATAATAAACCGATTTCAAGCTTAGGTCTTAAACTTCAAACAGACGCCCTGCCGCCTGAAATGCCTCCCTCTGTTTGCTGAGAGGGTTTTAATTGAAAGCACACAATCCCTCGTTCAATCTAATGAGAGCTCGACCCGGGAAAGTCACTCCGGAACATTCCTGAAAGAGCAGAAGAAATTCCACACGGACTCGGAGCTCAAAGCTTAATTCCAGAGGACAGACGAGGCGCTGGAGTTCATCTGAATCAGTCTTTGATGAGAAACCTGCTGTAGATGCAGCTGTGAGACGGATCTGGAGATGGATCCAGACACCGTTAGCTGCTGGAAAGTGAACTCTAGTGTCATGACGCTGCCGTTCTGTGTGTTTGTGAATGTCCTGCAGGTGTTTTGAGTCCGAACATGTCGGCCGAGTCCTCGGGACTCTTCCAGAGTTAAACCGGTTCAGATCGACGCGCTTCAGGTCTGGGTTTCCTTCCATCTGTAGAATGGTTTCACTGTTGTTAGTGCAGAAACACCACTAGATGGTGCGTTTAATGTAGCTGTAATGAGTGTTTGTGTGACGGGTTTGTAATTCTGCCCTGTCTCGTGTTTTGTGTGTCTTTGTGGTCCTCCTGCTCTGAGTTTATGGTTTATATTGGTGTTCCCCATCCTGTGTGTTAATGTAGAGAGATATGGTTTACAACTGGTTTTGCTTCAGGACCAACACCGTACTAAAATGACAATAAAAGTCACTAATAAACATCTGAACTTCATTTATTTGGTCAGAAATATAGAAAAAAATTGTGAAATATTTTTGTGGTTTAAAATAGATATTTTTTCTTGTAATATATTGTAAAATTTAATTTATTCCTGTGATGCGCAGCTGTACTTTGAGCATCATTACTCCAGTCTTCAGAGTTACATGATCTTCAGAAATCATAATAATATGCTGATTTGCTGCTAAAGAAACACTTCTGATTATTATCAATGCCCAAAACAGTTGTGCTGCCCAATATTTTTTTGTGGAAACTGTGATACATTTGATTTTCCAGGATTCTTTGCTGAATATTGAGCTGCATTTATTTGAAACCGAAATCTTTTGTAATATTATAAATGTCTTTACTGTCACTTTTGATCAATTTAATGCATAATGCATTCATTTCTTAAAATAAAAATAAAATCATACTCACCCCAAACATTTGAACGTTAGTGCAGTTAGTGATCATATTTAGTAAAAATATTTATATATTTGTCATAAATATTAATGGTATAATTTAATATTAAATAATTTTCACTTTATATGTAGTTGTGCTCATTAATATTTTTGAGGTATTGCATTGAAAATCAATTGAATGCATCAAATTATTATTATTTTCTTTCAAATTAAAGTTTTGAATGGCAGTTTTTATTGTAGTCAGAATTTGAGATTAATTACAGTACTTGCACTACAACAAACCTCTTGTAATTTATTGTAATCTCACGACGGCTAATTAAAGGGGTGGTTGATCGCGATTTTACTTTTTTAACTTTAGTTAGTGTGTAATGTTGCTGTTTGAGCATTAACAATATCTGTAATGTTACGACACTGAAAGTTCAATGGAAACGGAGATATTGTCTTTTAAAGAAAAGTCTGTTTAATGCCTACAATTACGACTGGTAGGGACTACAACGAGCTTCTTCCCGAGTTGGTGACATCACAAACCCTGCAATTAACATAAACCCCGCGTTAGTGTGTAATGTTGCTGTTTGAGCATAAACAATATCTGTAATGTTACGACACTGAAAGTTCAGTGGAAACGGAGATATTGTCTTTTAAAGAAAAGTCTGTTTAATGCCTACAATTACGACTGGTAGGGACTACAACGAGCTTCTTCCCGAGTTGGTGACATCACAAACCCTGCAATTAACATAAACCCCGCCCCCGGGAACACACAACAAAAGGGGCGGGGCCATGTTGCGCGGCTTTTCCACCGGAGCACATGCAACTATTGCCCATAATAGTAAGGGGTGTGTCATTTCTGGACAACGTGCAATACACGGTTAACAAATCACAATACACCGGGCCAGCTAACCAATCGGAGCCCACTGCGTATTTAGGAGGGAGTGGTATCATAGAAACAGGAAGTCAACCAGACGACGGCGTAGAATAAAGGTCAAATATATGAAAAATATGGCTTTAAAAAAAAAAGAACGAAGCATGAAGGCATGTAAGACTGCACCCCATAGACACAATCAAGCCTAGAAAAAAAGCAGCCAACCACCCCTTTAAAATATAACAATCGCACTGTAGAAAATTATGACCAAAATGTGTATTAAGTGCATTTACATGTGCAATAAAATTAATTAACTATTAATATTATAAATCTCATCACCTCCATCAGTGTTGATGTAAAATTAAAAATACACATGCAAAATGTATAAACATGCTCATATTTAATAAAATGACTGATGCACCATGAAAATGAGGTAATGCTTAAAAACCTAAGTGTGTCAGTTTGTCTTAACCGGTTTTTACCAGTAATCGCTGTGAGATCGTGCATGTAAACGCACTCAGAACGAGTTTATGTGGCCTGTCGATGATTTGTTGAAGCACCTGTGTTGTTTTGCACGTCGTCTGTCGTCCTGCACGCATCTGTCCGTCTGCATCTCGCAGTTGTGTGTCTGTGTTTGCCTGCACCATCATCAGTGTGTGTTTGTGTGTTTTTCCTTTAGCCCCGACATGAGTACTTTAACGTGCCCGTGTACTGATTGGCTGCATGCTGAGCCCCTCCCCCTGCACGCCTGCTGGCTCCGCCTCTGCCTCCAGCACCGTCCAATCAGAGAGCTGCATCTTGGACCCTGTTTCACCTGCACACTGTCCAACTGAAATAGTGTGTCATTCGTGTTTGACTGTGTGTGTGTGTGTTTAACTGTGCTGTGCTAAATCAATGTTGTAAATCAATATCTCGTTCAGGCGACTCTCAATCATGTAGCTTCAGGAAATCAAACCTTATTGGTGGACGGATCTGTTCTTCACTTTGAAGACACTTTTACCAGATATTTCAAATTCACTGAATAATTCATTCAAGCTCTAAAGATCCAGGTCATAAAGATAAAAGTAGACTTTCAGCCTTTGTTTCAGAGCAAAACTCATATCTTCCTTAGGTTTTCCAATTAAAAACTTATTTTACAACAAAATCAGTTGAAAAACACTTGTGATTGAGTGCCTGAAAGCAGGTCATTTTATGTAGCTTAATCTTGTTTTAAGTGTATTTTAAGATGTTTTAAGAAAATAATTTTGATTGCTGACGTGTGTTCAGTATGTTATGAATAGCTGCTGTGGTTCAGTTGTTGATGTAGTCATTTTATAAATGATGAGTTTGTTTGTGCACATCATTGCAACTTTAGTTTTAGTTTCTTTCTTGATTTTAGTAGAAAGTTATAGCAAATTAGCAGTTTTCAATTTGTACACACACACACACTCACTCACTCTCACACACTCATACACACTCACACACACACACACACGTTCACACACTCATACACACACACACACACTCTCACACACTCATACACACACACACACACACACACACAGATCTACAGCGGCCTCAAAGTATTTACACACTTAAATCACATGTGAAATGTATGAATGTTATTGTATTAGATAAAATATTAAAACATGTCAATTTATTAACCCTGTAGTGCTTGACGTGAAATAAGTCATTTAATAGTCATATATATATAATAATAGTAATATTTGTCATACATTTGTCATACATTTCTAATATTTAGAAACAGAAGAGTTTATTGAAACTGCAGACAAAAAATTAAATAAATCTAAAAAAGTAAAGTTTACATAAGTGTTTTTTGTTGAGATCCATCTAGGCCTGGGTGATAAAACGGTATCGATATTTATCGACAGTACACCTTCATCGATAACGATATAAAAAATGTTCGATATAGCGCACGATATAGGCACGTACTATGAGTGACGCAGACAGCACACACGAACACATGCTGAAATGAGTGCTGGAGTGAGGAGATTGTGAATAAAAAATGAATATTAGTCGAATTTAAAATAAACATTTGCATTTGAATGTTAGGTGTGCGTCAGGGAGCGTCATCAGTGGCGCCGAGATGCGGTGATGTAAGTGACGTTGTTGCATTTGAATGTTTTGTTAGTCTAGCCCACGAGATGCGCCGCTGCTGTGTTAAGCATTCAAAATATTAGAGAAATATAGAAGCTCAATGCGGAGAAGATCTTGAATGGGTTAAAACTGAAACCAAGCCATTCACACAGAACGCATATTCAGCGCATTTTTTAGACGGACAAATATGACTGCTGCACTCGCGTCTCATGCAAGAGATGCAAAGAAAGTCATGCAAATACAGTGGTTAAATGTAAACATTTTTTTCTATTGCTCTGTTTTAAAAAAGGTTACATATATCGTTGATATATTTTTTAGCTATAACGCCCAGCCCTAGATCTATCAGGCTTTTATGGCTCATACAGTCTGATATAGTGAGAATATGGAGGAAAAACATCTCAGTTTTATTCTAAGGCCCAAACTGAGCAGAAATATGCAATTTGGTGCAGATGCTGATATTTGTATGATGAAATTCTGATGCTTGTAATGTAAATGAATGAGATCTTTATAACCGTACAGCAGATACTGACATAAAATGATCTAAATATCAGTGGTCGCTCAACGCGAATTTGTGCAGGTTTATTTTATTTCACTGCGTCTCATGTTTTTAAATGCAATCTGTGTGATCGGCGATTCGGCTCTTTGTATTAAGCAATGCATAAATACCGGATGCTGTTTTGTTCATAATTGTTGATGCAATTTACGAAATTATATTTGATTTATATGAGTTAATTTAGACGTAATGCAGGTTTTTTTATAGACAT